ACCTTCGTTTGTTGTGCAAATTCTTCAATGATTTTAATTTTTGAATATTTCATTCATTGTGCAAATTCTTTAATGATCGCAATTTTTCATTCGTTTATTGTGCAAATTCTTCATGCTTTTTTGGAATTTAACTTATATTTTGTATATTAAAATAAAAATTTTAGATTTAGTTTTGCAATATTCAACAATTTTAAATAATTATATTACCATTGTTGCAATATTCTTTAGCTTTCATGGATACTAGTTAGGAAATATATTATGTACTAACTTATTGTTTCTTTTTAGAAACAAAAGATGTTCAAATACATTTGGGCTCAAACTTGTTCTGCGTATAGTCATAATGTTACCAGCATCGGAGAATAACCTTTCACTAGGAGTGGAGGTAGCTGGTATCGCAAGATATTTTTTAGCCAATTTGGCTAAAAATAGAAATTCCTTTTCATTATCTTTCCACCATTGAAGTGGATTGATATTTGAAGGAATCTTTGGATATGCAAGATATTTTGTAACTTCATTAGTATTAGTTGGTTGATGTTGATATTGATACATACGTGCAAGCAGTGAATCATTTGAATTTTCTTGAAACTGCATAGCCGATGTATTAGAATTTGAGTTATTATATAATATATGCAAATTGTCGAATGCTTTTTGTGCATCATATGGTGATATAAATGATAAAGATTTGCTTTGTGGATTCAATAATGTTGCCATTAAACCAGTTTCTGTTAGAACTGAATAATAATAATCAAGACTTTTATAGAGTGCAAAATGAACTCTTAAAATAAGATTATCACAATTTTGAGAGCTATTTATACGAATTTTGTGATGAGAAGTAGAAGAATTAATATCAATATCTTTATCAGCATCTTCGTATCCAATATCTTCATCAAATACTGTACTTGGATCTGTAAAATCTATTATTTCTACATAATCTTCACTTAAGCGTGCAAGATCTGATTTTATAAGTGAAATTGTATGATATATACAGCTAATAATTGAGTAATTGCTACTACCAAGAAATTCTGTAGCATCAGCAAATAGATGTAAAACAGGAATTAATTGCTCAATAGCTATCCATTCTTCATTGGTAAGATTTATTTTTTTAAGATGACTACAGTCATGCTTTGAATCACGATTATTTTCCAGTTCCAAATAGCTAATCATAGCACTTATTACATAATGCATTTTAAGTAATCTTATCCATGCAAGGTATGTTGAATTCCACCAAGTAGATACATCATTAATAATTCTAAGACACTCATTTTCTATCAAAAGCTTAAATTATTATTAGTAAACATAACAATAATAAAGAAAATTTCAGAACTTGCAATAATTTTTTCATTTATATACACAACTAATATACCTGATTATTCGACAAATTTATACTTTTTTGTACTTGAAGCAGTTTCTTACTTTGCTTTGGTGTTGTAAAAAAACTACAAAGCCTACGTGCATGGGCTACTAAAACTTCACATGGAAGAAGTCCTTTTCCAATTACTAGCTGCAAAGTATGAGAGGTACAGGGTATACGTATATAATTTGACAATAGTGCAATTGCCTTTTTTACATTTGCACCATTATCAGTTGTAATACAAAATACTTCATCTTTAATATTCCATTCATTAAGTATATCAGATATTTCATTAGAAATATTTTCTTCTGTATGTGGATATGGAATATGTTTCATTGCTAGTAATACTTCGTGCAATCTAAACTCATTATCTAAATAAGATGCTGTAATACCTATATATCCTTGTCGAGATTTTGCTGTTCATAAATCAAGTGTAAGAGAACAACTTGCCAAATTTTTTGAAATATTAAGATTTATAGTTTGTTTAATATAATTATAAGATTCTAACAACATTGATTTAACCATCTTTTCAGAAGGTAATTTATAAAATAGAAATGCCTCTGCTATTAGCTTAGTAAAACCTTCATCAGTTAAAACTAAAAGTGGCTGTTGATCTTTAACTATAAACTTAACTACAATTTTATCTATATGTTTTTTTCTTAATGGGTTTTTTTCTTCATTTGGTAGATCACTTGCTGAATCATCACTGTCAATATTGAAAATTCCATATGCAGTTCTTAAGTGATACCAATAATTTCCAGTTGAACCTGAATATCGTATCCTTTTATTGCATGGTTGTGTACTATCTTTTCCAACAACTTTAACACAACAAATACCATATTCGGAAGTATCATCTTTATCAAAGTAATTCCAAACTTTGCTAGTAGACTGAGATCCACCACGTTTAATAACATTGGTTGATTGATTACTGGAAGAAGCCACAGATTCATGATCAAAAGAAGCTAAAAAGCTATCTTTATTACTTTCTTCTAAAATAGTTTGCATATTCATTTTATTTAGAATTAAAGTTTCAAAGTTGTTAAGCGAAGAGAAATAACTAAATTTATTTATTTTTTACTTTTTATATATCGTACATTTGATTTTAAATTCATTACATCATTTATCATTACTAATTTATCATACAATATTTAACTTTCATTACTACTTTTTCATGCATCATATTTAATTTTGCGCTTACATCATTGATTAATTACTATATGATCACAAGACCTTCTTTATCTAACATACAAAACTAAACAATAAATTCAAAAAGCAATTAATAGATATTGCACTTAATAATAATAATAATAATAATAATAATAAATAGGTTTAATTTTGAATCAGATATCTTATTAGATAAATTCGGTGAATTCAGATTAAAAGTTATCAATTTACGATCAGATAAATTATTCGGATTAAGTGTTTTATCTACATATATTTGGATAAACAGATGATCAGATCTAAGCACTAATAATATCATGAAGTATCTTTAACTTAATTTTCTATTCAAACTTAAAGATATCAGCAATATTTTTGTTTAATAATCCATAATTTGCATAACTTGTTACTAAAATATAATTGTCTGTTTTTTCGTCTATTAATATTTTTGTTATTTTTCTAAGCTATTAACTAAAAAAAAACCAATATAAATTATTATATTAAATTATTTAAATAAAAATAAATAATAAAAAATATCTTTTTTAAGAATAGATTTTTATTCTTATTAAATCTTTTACAATCTTGATTGCTGCATCTTCATATGACCCTGATTGATTTAAATATTTTGTTTTAAAAACTGTAGAAAATACTCATTTACCTGTTTTTTTGATATTTTCAAATTTATCATATGCTATCCAATAAAAAAATTCATATTTTTTATAATTAGTTTTAGTTTATTCAGTGATAGCAGATTTTAAATATCATTCGAAAGCAATATCTATATCCTTTTCAACAACATCTCTAAATCAGTAATATTCACTAACACAAAACATTCTATCAGGATATCCCATCTCTGCTGATTTTTTATAGTATTCGAATACTTTATATTCATCTTTTTCAATTCTAATTTCATATTCATAAAAATGTCTAAGACTATATGGTTCAATAATATTTCTTATTTTTGCTGATTTTTTATAATATTCAATTCCTTTTTTTTATTTTTTTCAACTCTAATTCCATTGATATAACAATATTCAACCTTAGTTTTTCCTTTACCATTACCCATGTTTGCAGCTTTTTGATAATATTCAAATACTTTCTGATTATTCTTTACAACTCCAAATCCAGTTAAATAACAATCTCCAACTTCAAATATTCTACGAACACCACCCATATTAGCAAATATTTGAATGCTTTTTGTTTATCTTTTTTGACTCCAATTCAATTCTAATAACATCTTCCAATATTAAATATTCTTGCAGTATTACCCATATTAGCCGCTTTTTGATATATTAGAATGTTATTTGTTTATCTTTTTCAAATCTGATTCCAAATCGATAATATTCACCTAAAGCATATAAATGACCCAAATCAGCCGGGTAAAGTATAATTTACAAATAATACAATTTGATTGGTTGAGACTCCATCACGTGACCAGCATAGCGAGCTTTAAATTTTATTGAATGATCAACCAAAATATTACACAATATGAAAGACATATTAGCATAATGTTTTGCAGCTACAAAAATGGATCGCGAATTGGCAAAGCTTGATACCAGAAAAATTCAATAGAATATCTTCCATTTTATCAACTGTCAAAGTAATTTAGTAATCTGTGAAGTAATTCAGAAGTTAAATGAGAGGTATGTTTAAACATTTTAGCTTAGCTTATAAGTATAATAAATTAATTAAACTTAGCAATTTAGGCTATCTTTTGCTTGTAAAAACTTTTTCTTCATAATTTCAACTAATAAAAAAACATTACTATATAGGCTAATAATTTGAAGTTGAGTTATAAAGCTTATAAGTTTTGTAAAAAGATTAAAATAGAATATAGCAGTATTATTGCAACTGTATAATGAATGATTGTTGATTGTTAAATAAAATTAAAAATCAGTTTGATGTTAGAACAAGTATTAAAAGTAGGGTTTGATTATTATTATTTTTTTTCCAATTCAGCAGTCTTGCTACTACTTTATTAGGCTACCATAATTTTTACATTATATATATAATTTTATGATTTTTATAAAAGGCTATTCTCTTTGATATCTAAGTTACAAGTATTGGCTCATCTAGTTATTTTTAGAATACCTATGAGTGACCTGCTATAGTAGAAGTTTATCTCCATGCCAACTTGTTTTGATATAAATTTGTTAATACTTCATTGGATAGTTTCTACGGCCTGTCAAGATTACTAATTAGCTTTCCACTATAATGCATGTTGGCCTTTCTTAATCCAATCTAGAACTGCTTTCTTGGCTAGATTTAGTGAATCTCTCCAATGTGTTTCACTTTCTTTTTTAGATTTTCTTGTCTTCTCCTCTTTATCTTTATTTTTTTCTTTTTTCCTTCTCCTTTTTCTGTTTATTTTATCCTTGGTTCTTGGGTTGGATCTTCTTTTACCTTTTCTTGTTATTCCAATTTTTTTTTCTTATTCTTGAACTAGTTTGCACCTTGCGATCTATATCTTTTTGTAGACTTGTTTCATCTAGTTCTTTCAAAGTTCTTCTATAAAACTGAGAGTCTGTTTGTTTGAGTTAAAATTTTGCTACAACTTATTGAAGTCTTCTTTTGTAATTAGGTCTCTGATCCATCTAGCATTTCTTTGTAGCTCTTTGAGTGTGCTACCTTTTCCTAATACCATGAGTATTGACTTTTTATTTTTTTCTATATCTTCTGATGCTATTTTATTGAGAGCTCTTTCTACTTCTTGTTTCTCTATATCTTTTAAAAAGTTCATTAAGAACTTGCAGCTAACCAAATGTTTTATATTTTCATCTCTCTTTTTGCATATTATACATGTTGAGGCCTTGTATAGATTTGGTCTTCTTTGATTGAGCTTTGCTAGTACTAGTAGTGCATTATTTACATATTTTATTTTAAAGAGCTGTTGTGTATTTGATTTGAAAGTATGGTCTTGCTGTTTTTTTCCACTCTCCAAAATTTTGTAGAATACAGGCCAGTGTTGTAAATCTTTTCTTTCTTGATGTGAAATAACTTGACGACTATATATATATATTCATTCCACTCTATTAATCACTTTTTCTAGAATTTTAACAAAAGAGTGTGTTGGTTTCTCTATTAATTCTCCTTTCTATATATATTTTAGCTTAAACTCTCTTGTACTTAGTATATTAAGAATTAGAAGTTCTATACTACCTGCACCTTCTTTGGCCTTAATATTTGCTAAATCATTATAAAAGTCCCCTAAGTGGCCCTTAACTTTTACTAGTTCAAGCACTAGCTGTTTGGTTTTGATCGCTTCTGCTATTGTTGCAACAAAACTACTATTCTTGGTTTTAATCCAATGTCTAACTTTGTACATTTCAAGCCCTTTATGAATTACTAGTATAGCTGAGGTTTGATTATTTTTATTAGTGTTAAGAATAGTTTACTTTATATATATTTTTTTATTTTACTTTATTTTATTTTACTTTATTTATTTTTTATTTATTTTTTTTGATTTGTAATATGCTAAGATTCTTTCTTAATAAAATTTTTGGGTTGTCAAAATTTTGTTTGTAACAAGTTTATAGTTTTAGGTTTAAGCTTATTAAAATTTTATAGAAAAGACAATAAAGATTCAGCCAGTATTAAATTTAGTTACTTTCTTTATGCATATTAATTTTCTTTATTCACAACAATTAGTTAAAGTTTAAAATTTGATTAACCAATAAAATTTTATGATTCCAAAGGATGATCTACAAAATTGACTAATTATAATGAAAGCCTACTATGCTTTTGGACAAAATATAGAAATATATTTATTTGATTGGTTACCTTTTTTTACTCAGGTAGTAAAATCTTTACTTGGTTATACAACCTACTCATGGGTAATTCGGGTGACCCAGATCCTTAGATATAATATAATTTAATACTAAAGCACTTGTAAATTTGACAGATTTGTAGAAGTTATATAATTATTGCTTTGGTGTAAAAAAGGACCCAAACATCTCTCATATAGATCATACTTGCACTTTAGCAAAAAGTCAAAAATTTCGCCTAAAGTCCAATTTTTAGTTTTAGCAAATTAATGATATAATAATTTTAATAATAGGTTATAATTTAGCATTTTGTCAAAATTATATCAATTTTATATATGTTATATTTTATTTTTAGCAAATTATCTGCATTTTGGAAGAATTATACTCAAAAATAAGCTA